GAGTCCACTTCCTGAAGCACCGTCAAGGGATATTTGTACAGAGCTTTCCTGTTAAAATCATCAATGGCCTGTGGCAGTGGAGGCCCCAGCAATCATATGGGGGACTGGACCGTGGACGGCACATTTCTGTGCAAGAATAGTGCTCCTCTAAATGAAGCATGCCTCCTTCAGTGAGAGGAGAGGCTTCAGTAAGATCTGTCAACAAAAACCTAGTGGGGCAGCGTTTTAAATGTTGATACCAGTGGCTAAATTAAGGACACTGTCAATAGAATTACCTATGCCCCAGGGGGGGTGCATTGATAATATTCTTTATCATAGAATGATGACGATATCACTAAAGTGGACCAGAGACATATAAACCATAGAGATAAGAAAGGATTGGGGGCTCACCCTTAATTTGAACCCCGATCTAAGAACAATTAGTTTTTATGGCAGGGCCTTACTTCATACTGAAGATATGGGTGCCATAGCAAAGTGTGGTGAAGAAAGCAGTGGTGTCTGGCCACCAGAAATAATGGCATCCAGGATCTTAAAGGCTCGTCTCAAAAGTACGCAGCCATCTAAGTGAGGTGTCCACTAAGTCCACAAGGAAGAAACACACCAGCCCGTGTGATTCTGGGATTACAAATAACTGAAATCCATATCTGAGGGAGGGCATCATATCCAAGCTTAAATGGTGGACAGCCAGGTGCAGAAGGCTATGGCTGACGGTGAAGCTCAACATCCATGTGCAAGCTCCACATATGGACGAGGCCTGCGGTGAACCCTCCCGCCCTAGCTGAGGTGTGAACAGCCCTGCCAGCAGACAGCAAGCACTGTAAGTCAACGATGGCAGCTGGAGTTAGGATAAAAGGGAATGCCTTATCATTTCTCCCTTTTGACCTATTTTAAAGTTGTTTCACTTTTCAACATCTCCTGCTTTCATTGCTATTAGAGCTTTTCAACATTTTGTCTAGTCCCCGCTGCGTTTTTCATTTGCTTGCCTCCTATTTGTCTTTGGAAAGATTTTCTGTATCTGAAATCCAGGAGAGTTGGATCTATAAGACAGTAACTGCATTATTAATTGCCTAGGGGCACGGCAGGGGAGGATGGGGGGAAACGGGGTGCCGACAAACATGATCACACGAAGAAAATGCTGCGAAATTGAGTGTGGTGGTGACTGCACAATTCTTCTCAATGTGGTTGTGTGATTAAGTTGTATGATGTGTAAAATGTATGCCAAATAAAGCGACTTAAAAAAACCAAACCTTCGTTGGCGCTGGAGTTTTAAGGTTCCAGCCTTCTTCCTTCAGTGGTGCCCACTTACTGCTCTGACTCTGTCAGGCCTTCCACACTGGGTAGTTCTTTGGCACGGGGCTCATAGAGGTACTTCTCAATGACCTCATTCTCACCGATGCCTCCCTGCAGTTGATTACTACAGGTAGTGATTACCTACCGCTGTCACCCAGGCTGTCTGGCATCGGTGATGTCGTCAGTGGTAACCCCTTCCCCACCCTGTTGATTGGGGGCCTACTTTGTCCCACACTCCTTTCTTACCTGAGGGCTTCATGCCACCCCAGCAATCAGCCTTCCCGACGATGGCATCAGACATCGCTCTCCCAGCACTCTCTTAAGCTCAGGACTTCATCCTGGGGAGCCCACCTGCTTGTGCGAAGGTCGACTGAAAGTACTAGACCTTAGGGGAGGGCAGTGCCTCCCTGATCTAGGCGCAAAAGCAGCGATGTGGTGTGGCAGAATACAAATGCGACCTTCACGATGGGGTGAAGGTCATCTACAGTACCACGATGTCCAGGTGTACCACCATCAGCAGGAGAATTGTGAAAGGGCTGTTCTTGGCCCAACAGTAAGGTTCAACTGCAGAGAGAAAATTGTTCAAAACCCAGTCTTCAAGGAAGGCAATTGTAACGCCTTTGCTAAAGCAAAACCCTGCTGCCATCATCTGGTTGGTTCTGGCTCGTAGGGACCCTCTGTTGGGTTTGGGCGGCTTTGCCAATCTTCACAGGAGCAGAGATTCATCTCTTTCTGTGGCCTTGTGGTCAGCTTCCCTGCTGGCACCACAAGGGGTCCTGATAACAGGAAGTTATGCCTCAGGGATGGGGCAGAGTGCCCTTGGCTTTAGGGAGGCAAGACCAAGCAAAGGCTTGACCCCCAAAACAATAGCCTACCCTGTCCTTTCACATCTCATGTCCTGGTGCATTCCCCTGCCCCCTCTTTTGAAATGTAGATCTTTCCAGGTCCCCCATCCCCCCACAAGCCGATCTCATCTCCGTGAAAAATATGCACTGGCAACTAAGCTTCCTCCTCAGTCATTTGATCACAGTTCAGGAACATCGCTCCCGGCCCTGTGTCAGCCTCCCCTCGCCTCCAAGGTTCATGTTACATAAAGGCGGCCTGCTTTGAGAGGAGGGAACCCACCTGTCTGCAGCACCTCCGTCAGCACCATCGCCCTCTAAACCATTCCAGTCCTGGACCATCTGTAGCCTAACCTGGTGACCCGCGAACGGCCACCGCCCGAAATCCACCCTGCTTTCTTCAGGACCATTCTCTCAGGTGGGGCTGTATCACCAGCACCTGCATCCAATCGGTGCTTTGCAGGTATGGCTACAAGGGTCACCAAGAGGGCAATGGAAGCCAATCACAGAGTTAGTTACCCACTCAGTACCGGGTTGACGGATGGCTCTGTGAGCTGACTCCGAAAGACAAGGGGCCTTCTTCTTCCTGCGCCAAAGTGCTGGGCGAGTCATTACGCATCACTGCGCTGAATTCATCCTTAAATACAACAGCTTCATGGCAGTCTGCTCTGGTGGGCGCTGTCTGGATGCGGTATGTCCTTAATGCGGAGACTAGCTGTAGGTCACTTCTGTGCGTTCAGCTTAGGGGTGAGGGGCAAGCCTGAAGGAGAAGGCACCCGGGCTGCCCCAGCTGTCCCTCCATATGGTGTCCGGTTCAGAATAAGTGGATAGCTGATCCGGGGGTGGGGTGGGGGGCTGGTTGAGAAAGGGTCTGGTAGGGTGTCTTGCTTGTTAGTTCCTTTTAGACAGACATTGCCTTCTTTCTGATTTCAAACAAACTCCAGGTTCGAATGTCAAGCGTGGCTTCTTGGGGCTGTTGGCCCTCCCCTTTGCACCCTTCCCTTACTCAGGCGTAGACAACACTCTCACGATTTGTACTGGTGCTGAATCTCACGGGACTCCCAGGCATGGTGGGTCATGGGATTCTGTGCGCATTAAGAAAAAAAAATTACATCTGATATCCAATGGATGGCTCCTCATTCACGGTGACCCCATGTGCTTCACAGGAAACAGCTCCGATGACTGGATTTTTGGAAATCAGGCATCAGTCCTTTCTCCCAAGGTACCCTTGGTAGGCACCTCCAGGGACAGACAGCTCTCTGCTCTTGGGTGCCACACATGCTGTGTACATATGAGGCCTCACAGAAGCGCCGTGGGAATCCCCATGCCTTTATCTCCCCTGCGCATGTGCGTACTCACCTGCTCCTAAAGGACCCACTCACCAGGTGAAAGGGTAACATTCTCAAGAATTATAGGACGGTGATACAGACCATGAAACCACACCTGGAACCCCTCTCCGCACAGGCCCTGGGGGGTCACCAGGTACACACTGCGAACCCCGTGTGACTTCTCCTAGTCCCTTGGCTGTCCTGGTCGGGTACCTGGATGTGCAAACACTGCCACTGCCCCCACCCCACATTGAGCTCTGCCCTCCACCAGCACAAGTACTTCAGGAAGGCAGGTGGGTGCCTTTGCTCTGATCCCCCAACTTCCCCTCTGGGCCCTATCTTCCAGCATTCTCCCACCATTTTATGAGATCTTATTCCCATTTTCCAAAAATCCCTGATTCCACAACACTCCTGGTGGTCGATGGCCCCGATTGACCTCTGGCTGACAGCTCTAAAGCCAACATGACCGCCAAGGTGGCCACGGACAGGGATGGGTGACAAGAGTCCATAGGATATTCTTACAACTCTCTGTAGAGTTCAACATTTTTTAAATAGGAATTTTTAAAAAATGTATTTTGAGGGATGCATGGGCATCGTTAACTTAATGTATTCCGATGATCCCAGTGGTAGACTTTTTACTAGCTGTGCACTTTTTTTTTTAGCATAGTGTAAGCAACCGGGAAGTTCCACCTCCTTCATGCAGCTCAGTGAGCGCTGGTTGTATCACGTTTAAGCCCTTGGCCGCCAACATCAGTAGTTTGAACCTACTAGCCACCCCGAAAGAGGTCGATGAGGCAGTCTGCTTCTGTAGAGATTTACAGAAACCTTGGAAACCTTTGAGTGGCCGAGTCAGAGCTGACTCCCTGGCAGTGGGTTTGGGCTCTCAGGTAGCTCAGGAAGGGGGTGACGGTTACAAAGGAGAGCTCTCACTTCCTCTATGAAGATGGGTTCAATTCCGAGGCTAACATAACTCATATTTGCGGCCGTGGAGTTAGTGCGGACTCACAGCACCCCCTTGTGGGTTTCTGAGGCTATAAGCATTTCTACTGGGGATAGAAAGCCCGGTCTTTCTTCTGCGGAGCTGCCAGTGGTTTCGAACTGCCGACTGTGAGGCTCGCAGCTCGACACATAACCACTACACGACCTGGGCGCCATCTCATGTGAAGCCACTACCTATTTGCCATCAGAGGCTTGTGTGTGGCTCTGATGCCGATCAGGAATCTAGACGAAGACCAAGTGTAAGACAGGCTTGATGATCCACTTCGGAAACCGGCCAATGGAAACTCGCGGAACACAGGGTGTCAGTGCAGGTGCACCGGGTCTCTCTGTGTGGGTCAGAGGTCAGCTCCACAGCTGGCTCCCAGCCAGAGTCCTTTTCTGTCTAGTCCCTCCCCAGTTCCTGGGGAGTTTGATTCCATCTTGCTAATCTGTGAGCCCAAATCTCTCTCTTTCTGTGTGTGTGTGTGTGCATGCGCGTTTGCATGGGTTGTTGTTCTTATGAGCAAAACCACGCTTCACACTCCAAAGAACGGACCATGTCTTAGATCATATAGCATAGAACCTTTATTATTTTTCTTCTAAATTCTTAGAAACGGACATAACTCCCGTGCTCCAGTTATGACACCATTTATAGACATTTAAAATGCATCTTCGCTTATAAATATTGTACATTTGGTCCATAGAACAGATAATTTCACTAAATAATACTGTATTTTTTTAAACAGGCTCTGAATATAGTTTGAATATGTATATATTACATATATTTTTTCTATAGAGATAAATTTACTTGGAGTTCTGAGAATAAATCCTTATTGCAAAAAGAAAAAAAAAAGCATAGATGAGGATACAATATCTTTCCCGCCCTCCCCAGGGTTAATACTGAAAACAAAGTTGCACAAACCCACAGCTGTCACAGGAACTGTACGACACTTAATATTGTGCTATAGAAGGTACGTTTGGGTTGAAATCAGTGAGGGGATTTCTTACCAAACCTCCCACGCGGAAGTGCTTGCGAACATGAAGGACGCTGTGCTTGTCTTAGAACAGCGTGCCCTCCGTTTCAGACTGAGGACCACAGAGAAGGTGAAAAGTCTTCCTGCCCTTAACCTAAAGGATTTCACACACGGGGTTGGGTGTGCAGGGTTCGGGGGAGGCGGACCATGGGACACAGTGACGGCCTTCTCTTTATTCTAAAACACTAGGGTTTCACCAGACGTCTGTGTTCTGTACATGGATCCAGCAGCTGGCATTTGGGGAGTGGGGGGAGGGACTTAGCAATGAGATTATTTTACAGATGATGTTGGGAGAAGGTTTAGGGGTCCCACACCGATCAAAGGGACCCTAGGTGGCACGTGTGAGAATAAATGTGCGTGTGTGCATTTACATATGTGTACTCGTACTGCTTTTCTTCTCTAAAATAATGTGCTTACTATTCTGAGGGTAATATTTATTGCAAGAACTGGGATGCTGGTCACCATTGGATGAGGATGAGAGAGATTACGAAGCCCACAGTCACAGTCATTACCATAGTTACTCAGGGTTAGTCAGGAAACACAGTGTGGGAGAGAACTAGCTAAGCAGCTACGGGGCACAACATGGGGTCGGCTACACGGGAACCCATCTTCCTGGCAAGTGAGACACCTGAGTCCCCTGAGCTCGCAAGAAACCTTCTTCCCTTGATTCCCGCCCCGCCCCGCCCCCCTGGAGCAGGAGAGGGATAGATGCCACTCCCCAGCAAAGCCGTTTCCAGCTCGGAAGCCCTTTGGAGGGGGGTCTCTGGGTTAACAGGAGCTCCTCAGTTCATGGGCCAGTGGGTCGCTTTTCGTGGCAGTGAGGAGAGTTGGGCTGAGGAATTTCTGGGGCGGTACAGAGGCAGCACTGAGGAGGGGCGGCAGTGAGGGAGAGGGAGGACACCAAGGAATCATTGGCTCTGCCTTGGTTTTTGGAGGGGCCCTTCAACTAGGTTTCCCCCACTGCTGTTTTGTGCTCTGTAAGGCTGGGCAGCTTCGGATAAAGTGGAGGCCCGCCTCTCAGAGGGACCGCAGGGCCCTGGATTGGCAATAGAAACCTCCATTGTGCGTGCATGCAAGGCCCCTTGGGATGATTGCTATTGGTCCGGCTCCACTGAATTCCTCCCAGGCTGGCCTGCCGCTCTGCTGGCTGGCAGGGGACAGAGCGGGGCTGCAGGGATTGCCCGGGAACAGACCTAGGATGGAGGACTGAGGTCTGCAGGGAGGGGCTGTTTGATTGAGCTGCCATGGGAAGGAGAAACCCCCAAATAAAGGTAAGAGCTCCGATGTCTCCCTGTCACTTCGAGCGAGCTCCCCCTGGAAGTCCCCACCATAAAAAAGGCCCTTTCCGTGGGCACGAAGCAGCGTTCCCAGGACCCCAGCCCCGCAGAGTCCGAGAGAGCAGGCATGGGTCTCGGCAGTAAGAGAACAGTCAGGAGCACTGTGAGAGACCGGGAGGGTGACTGCCGCCACACTCGCCGGTGGAATGGAGATGACCCTACCGTGGCGGTTACAGACGCAGACATCTGGGTGCTTCCGGAGCCTGGATTCAAAAGGCTATCAGCCAGCAGGCTGCCAAAGTCACCGCTGTGGACCTTCCCCGGGGGTTGACTGTCCCCCACCTCCCCTCTCTGCGTGATGAGGGTGTCTGGATTTGCCACTTGAGGTAGGTTGAGACAGACAGTATCTTCAGACGTCAAGTGGTGGTCCTGCTCAGGCAGATGGGGTGGGGGTGGGCTGGGTGGGTAAGAGTGTCAGGTCCGCCAGGCCCCACCCCTCTAGATGTAGGCCTCTTTGCCGACTGAGCCACTGGCCTGGGGCTGCTCTGGGCCGTTCTCCGGGCGCACGATGTCTTCGCTGGGCTGGATCATGACCTGGATGCGCTGTGGGCATGCAAGAGGGCAGTTCCAGCAAGGGTGGGAGCACACGGCGGAGCGCTTCTTCAAGATCCACTTGTCTGGGGTGCCCTCACAAGACACCTAGACCCTGGCCGCATGGCACCCCCTCTGTACTCCCTGCCAGCCCCCTGCCCCCTCTCCTCTCACTGTGAGGGCCGCAGCATAGACCCATGGCCCTCCCTCACACCTGTTCTTGTCCGACACCTTTTCCTTCCCTTCCTGTGACAACAGCCACAAATATCAACATTTTGGTATTTATACAGTTCCATAAATGCCAGCGTCAGACCGCGGCCTTCCACTCAGCCCCAGCAGTGGGCTTCCACGTTCGCCAAGAGCAAGCATCAAAGTCCTGCGAGACCCTACGACATCTGTCTCTGGCCCTGGGCAGATCCTAGACCCCTCACTCCAGCCCAGCCACGTGGGCCTCCGTGAGGCTCCTCTGACTTGCCAAGCACGCTTCGGCCGCCCGGTGCTGTGCAGGCAGGGTGCTGGCCTGCCGCTCTGCTGGCTGGCAGGGGACGAGCGGAGCTGCAGGGATTGCCTGGGAAACAGACCTAGGATGAAGGACTGAGGTCTACGGGGAGGGGGCTGTTTGATTGAGCTGCCATGGGAAGGAGAAACCCCCAAATAAAGGTAAGAGCTCCGATGTCTCCCTGTCACTAGAGCGAGCTCCCCCTGGAAGTCCCCACTTTGCACTTGCTGGCCCCGCTGCCCTGCCCGGCGCTTCCTTCTTCCAATAGTTACACACCTCATTCTCCACCTCTATGTCTTTGCTCAAGTACCACTGGAGCTCTGCCTACCCTGTTTTATCTCTCTCCACCTCGCGCGGTTTTATTTTGCCCATTGCTGCCTCTTCTCCCCGCACGTACATTCCCTGCGGGTGAGATTTTTGCCTGCTGTGTTCACGGCTGTGTCTTGCACGGACAGGACACGAAGCAGTTGCTCAAGACCCCTGGCAGAATGAGTGAGCCCCTGAAGCCTCCTGTACACACGTCTTGCCTGCCCACCCGCCCACTCGGATATGTGCTAGTCTCACCCTGGGAAACGTTCTTGGCCACAGTGCTCCTGCACTTCCGCTCACACTAAGGCCCCTTGCCTTCGGAGGGCTCAGCAGCAGAGCATGCAATGCAAAGAGGGAGCTTTGCAGCTGGAGTTGAAGAGGAGGCTATTGCCCAGCGCTCTATTCGCGCACTGCCTGAGTTAGGAAAGCAGCTCCCACGGGGCCTCCCGAGCTGCCAGCGGTGGAGGAGGCAGCTGGCCCAGCTCACAGCCCACAGCTTACTCTCCTGTGCTGCGGACATGAACGCTGCCCCTGCTGGTCCGGAGGAGGTTGGACGGGAAATAAGGTGAAGACCCTCCTCAGTGCAGTCTTCTCAGCCTACACTTCCAGAGGAGTCTGCTTCCACCCAGGTGCCTCCAGTACCGCCTTGTTTCACGCAAGACTCAAGTGCGATTAGCATGGAGCTGGTGTGGATTGGCATGTACTGGGGGGCCATGGTGGGGCTGGCCTCATCTTTCAGGCTTCTCTTTACCAAGGCCACCCATGAGGTGTAGGTACAGTTGTAGGTGTTGGTATAGGTATAGGTGTAGGTGCAGGTGCAGGTATAGGTATAGGTGGAGTTGCAGGTGTAGGTATAGGCGTAGGTGCAGGTGTAGATGTAAGTATAGGCATAGGTTCAGGTGCAGGTATAGGTGTAGGTGTAGGTACAGGTATAAGTATAGGTGCATGTGCAGTTGTAGGTGTAGGTGCAGGTGCAGGTATAGGTATAGGTGGAGTTGCAGGTGTAGGTATAGGCGTAGGTGCAGGTGTAGGTGTAAGTATAGGCATAGGTTCAGGTGCAGGTATAGGTGTAGGTACAGGTATAGGTGTAGGTGCATGTGTAATTGTAGGTGTAGGTGCAGGTGCAGATATAGGTGTAGGTGCAGCTGCAAGTGTAGGTGTAGGTACAGGTATAATGACTCCCTCACTTTCCTCAAATATCTTCTTATTCTTGATATCAAAGCCTTTCTGATCAAATCTGTGTTTCTTATATTCCCAATCTCATCTCTTAACACTCCCCAGTACACCCACCTCTGCACCCTCCCCTCTCCACCCCCACCCCATCTCAGTTTATTAGAGGCAGGTCTTACCTCTGGGGCTTTGCACATGTTGTCCCCACTTCTCAGAATAGTCCTTCTCCTTCTGCTTCTAACACTGTTCCGTCTCTAAGGCCTCTTTCAATTCTCCTAACCCCAAAGGACGTAGGGCTCCCACACCTCCCTGGCTGACCCTATTGTAGCAACTCAAACACAGAGTGTTACTGGTCATTGATTTGTATGTCTCCCCTGACCCCCTTCAACTAGACTCTGAGCCATAAGAGGAGAGAGGCCATGCCTAGCACTGTGGGGGGAGAGGCAGAGCAAGTGGAAGACAGGACGCTCTGGTGGGTGGAGGGTGACTTACCTGCTTCAGGGAGCCCTTTAAGGTGAGGAACATGTAGACCATGTAGCCGGGGATGAGGACCATGGAAGACAGTGCCATGAGCCAGCCCACGCCCTGGCCCCACTTGGGGAAAACGTAGCTGCCCATGGTGAGAGGAGTCATCTGCACAGCGCTGAAAATGAACACACCCTGGGCAGGGGGTGGAAAGGAGGGAAGGTCAGTCAGCCACCAGACTGGACGCGAATACCCCTCTATTAGACCCTGAGGTCAAGAGGCCCACTGCCCTCCATTCTGCTCCAAGGCTGACCCTCACAAGGGCCCAACATCTCAGGCAGTCTCTCACCCAAGGTCACGGCCAAGGATACCTTTGTGCATAAGAAAAAGGTGCCCCTTCTGAGAGTACCAATAGGAACAGGTGCCCCCGTGGGAGGACCAATAGAAAAGGTGTCCTCTCTGGAAAGAACAATAACCCCAAGCGAAACCAACTGCCTCGAGTCCATCGGACGCACGGCAACCTTACCGAACAGCATAGAGCTGCTCTCGAGGTCTCCAAGGCTGTGAATCTGTACAGCAGAGATGGCCTCATCTCTCTCCTACAGTGCAGCTGTTGGATTTGAACTGCTGGCTTTGTGGTTAGCGGCCCAATGAGAGCAAAACACTATTCTTCCAAGTGAACCAGCTTCACAAGCCAAACAAGGGGTGGCAGTCAGCCCCACCTGCCCCTGTGGGCTGGGCACTGGGAACCCTTGTTCTGGGCCCAACATCTGCAGTGCAGCCCCAGCCCAAGGATGCTGAATACCCTTTCCAGGCATGCTGTGTCTCAGCTCCACCAGTGGGAGGGAATGACAGACACTATGGGGGAGAAGCTTCCCTGGGGGACATAGCCAGACCCCCGGCTTGGCAACCAGCCATCTGGATGATGCTGACCAGATGAGCCGTGAACAGGGACAACACCTGTTCCCTGAGCTCCGTGAAGTTACTGCAGTTAATGGCTCTATGCAGCATGCAGAGTAGATGTTCGGCAAAGGGTAGTCGTTCTACTAAAGAACAGGGGCTCTGGGCCTCTTCCACCCACCTCTGCCTCTGGAACTTTCTCTCTGGACCCAAGCCACCCTGGGGCCTGTGCGGATCCCTTCCTAGGAGGCCCTTGCCCTTACCGCCACAATGATGGGGGTGAAGAAAGACCAGCAGAGTTTCCACCAGATGCAGGGCCGGGAGCCGACCATCTCTTGGATGTTGTCGTAGAACCGGTTGACACC